ATAGTTGTTCTTACATCAAGGGATAATAAGCAGCTAGAATACTGGAAATACAACCTATACTCTCATTTTACAATCAATATTGTTTGACTAAATATTAAAGGAGAAATGGAGGGAAGGAATTTTCAGAAAACTAATAGGAATCAAATGCCTGTATGTCCTTAAAATTACTCAAGAGTGAAGTACGAGGCTTCTTTGAAAAATCCTAAACGAGATCTCAATACACCCAACTCTGCAAATGTTTGTACAGAGGCAGAGTGGTAAACACAAAAGCAAACAAATTCACCAATTTATTAATCCAGGATGGCAATTCAAAAGACATCATTCTGCCTTTACCCTCAAATACACAATGGGCTGTCATTCTTAAGTCTAGAGGGGGAAAAAAAAAAAAAAAAAAGTGAATTCTCATTCAAATTCATTAAATAGCATAAGCCATAAAAATTTCCATAATTCCTGCCCTTTGATCTGCATCTCAGTTACTCCCTATCTTTTAGAAAGCTGTGGATAATGGATATAAAGGCTACAAGCAGTGATTATTGTACTGCCCCTCTTAACTAAGCCATCTCCATAGTCAATTGTCAAAAACGTTCATTTGCTTTCTGGTTTGAACTTTTCTGACTTCCACCCATTGGGTTTTGTCCTGTTTCTGTGTACTGGAATAAAGCTTTAGTTAAGAACCTCTATTTCTGACATTTCTAAGCCATAACCTTTTCCAGATAAGCTTCACGACTGAGTTCCTTAAGTTTTCTATCATTATGCTTGTTTCCTTAACAACAAATAATTCACCCTGAACTCCCTCCAAACTTCAACATACTTTGGAGACCATTTGCCACACAATAAACCTGCCAGTGATAAACTCTTTGGAAGGCTTGTCTCCAGTTTCTGGAGGAGAGCACTGTGAGCCATCAAATCTCCTGCTGTGCTGATTTGGGTGGGCTGGAGTTAGTTTTCCTCACATCAGCCAGCCTGGGCTGAGCTCTGGGTTTGTGCTGAGCACGGTGTGGGTACCACAGGGATATTTTTGTTATTGCTGAGCAGAGCTTACACAGAGACAAAGCCTTTTCCATTTTTCACCCCACCCCAGCATCGAGAAGCTGAGGGGGTACAGCCAGGACAGCTGATACCCCAGCACACAAAGCTGGGGCAAGAAGAAGGGAGGGGGGACATTCAGAGTGATGGTGCTTGCCTTCCCAAGTCACCACGATGTTTGACGGAGCCCTGCTGTCCTGGGGATGGCTGAACACCTGCCTGCCCATGGGAAATGGGGAACGAATTCCTTGTTCTGCTTTGCTTGAGTGCATGGCTTTCATTGTATCTGCTAAACTGACTTTATCAACCCACAAGTCTTCACACATTCACTCTTCTAATTCTCTCCCTCCAAAGTTTTGAACAATCAAAGGTAGAGAATAAAAGTGCACTCAGTCCATTTTAACAAAAAGAAATATCATTTGACTGTAGAAGCAAATCCTCATTCAAAATTAAAATTTTTAAAACACAAATTTGACCTGTATAGTGATGAAGACTGGTAACAATGGGTTAAGGTGAAGTAAAACAGGCAATGGCTCTGCTCCATCTCCTGGAAACATTATTTCCCATAAGCACAAGTGTGCCCCATAAACATCTTTGATACAGCCCTTAATTTCTTCAATTTCTAACACAACTTGCTGAAAGTTTCTAAACACAACAATCATCAGAAAGCAATCCTAAAAGGACTTTAAAATGGAATAACCAAAATGTTTTCACATAGATTCGATACTTTAACATGCAATTACCTTGAGGGAATACAATCAAAACCAAAACCAAATCAAATAAGGAAGCTTTAAATTAGCATACCTTTACAACAGGATACTGCTTTTTTGTGTGTACACATATTACAATCCTGTTGTTAATAGTTAGATGACCACACTGATGGAGAATTCTAGGCAAAAACTGTCTTTGGATTATAGCCAGCAGCATCCTAAGGCACTGTTAACACTAAAACCAGCAGCAACTGTGATATTTTTTCAGTTTGACAGGTGCTAAATATCATTGGATTTGATTATAATTCCATTTTTATTGTAGCTATTGCCCAATACTCCTGAAATGACCCTACCGTAAGATAATTATAATTAATAGCCTTAAACCAGTATTGTTCCAGCTGAACAATATACAGAGCACTTCCCTTCAGAAGGAACAAAGACACATATAAGAAAAAAGAAAGCCTGCACCTACTACAGTATTCCAAGAGCAGTGTTGGGATCAGTCCTCTCTTATCCCCAAGTGCTTTACCATTTTGTCATATCTCATTTCTGCTGTAATTACTCATGTTGCAGATGCGTTAATACTTAGGTTGACACAAACCTATGTAAAGCTTACTTAGCTATTACTGGAAACATCCCAAAAAGCCTCAGAGCAAGAGAACAGTTTTACTACTCACTGTGGCATGGAGCTATTCTTTTTTAGTCAAATCTCAGAGATGAGACAATATCAAAGAAATTAAAAGCTTGTTTTAATTCAAAGGAGTTGCCAGACTATCTCCTGGACAAGGAAGACAAAACACATTTCTAGGAGACAGGAATCTCCTGGCAGGCTTCAAAATGGCAGCCTGGCTATAAACTGATATAGAATCATAGAATCATAGAATAGATTGGGTTGGAAAAGACCTCTAAGATCATCAAGTCCAACCCCCGATCCCAACCCAAAGGAATTTCTCTGGTGGATGCAACACAACCCTAGAAGCACACAGAAAGATTAGGTCCCCTTAAGTTTCATGGATAAAGGGACATCCATGGATTAGGGAGAGAGACTGATAAGCGAGCAGCTGATCAACAATACTGAGATCCCCGAAAAACAAGTAATTTTAGGTCAGTTTAACAAAAAGAAGCACCTCTGGAGGTGCTCTGGAGCACCAGGCAGGTTACACAAATGCCAGAATGGAAGAATGAAAAGCAAGGGAACAGGAGGTTCCTAGCAGGGCTGTGGGTGGGTCTGCAGTGGCTGTTAGATGACCAAGCAATTCACTTGGTTGACCAAGTGACCATAACCTGACTGTGAGCGGACTCTGCAGCATTCTCACATTTGGTTTGTATTTTATCTTCATCTGGCCTGGCCTAAGCATATTTCCACTTAACATGGCTAATAAGCAAGAAGGAGAAGAAGGAGAAGGAGAAGGAGAAATGGCAAAGAGCATTGTTCAGGCTTCTTGACCAAAACACCATATGTCATTGGCACCATTCAGCTTTCCAACATGAAGTCTCCAACTCCAAGAACTTCCCACCTTCCTCCTCTGTAATCACCCAAGAATTTAGCTGCCCTGACCACTTCCACACCAGCTCATAGACACATTCAGCTAATTACAAAATTAGAACCTGAAGTTTTGGAAGTCTGACCAACATCTGCTAAGAAGTTTGGGGTTTAGTATAAAGAAAGGCAGAACTGCATTCTTGACCTCACTGATCATTTTAAAGAGACATTTCTCTTGGCAATCTGCTGATTGAAAACTCAGGACGATCTACCACATTCTGAATATTGCCATATAAACCACCAGCCCAAACAAGTTTGCCTCTTGTACACTGCTACCACTCATCGAAGTTTGGTCTATATTTATAAATCAGAGTCAATGTGGGTCATTTTAAGCATCCTTTAAAAAGCACAGCTTCAATTTCCCACCTGTTCTGTAAATTTTACCACTGAAGAATTACATTGCTATATTGCACTTCATGGCTTAGGTCTGAAGAAAAAGGACAGAAGCAGATAACTGTATTTCATTCAAAAGCAACATTCATTACTTCTAGTACATAAACCACTTATTTAACCTTGAATGGATTTACATTCATATTATATACAATTGTTTGTCTCCAAACAGATGGCAATTACTCAACATTTTGACAGTGGGGCTATGAGTATACCCTTAAGCTGATATGAGAGTATATAAATTGTTACCAATTAAATGCCCATACTCCACAAACATGTCACAAACTCACAATAGCTTCAGTCCCAAACCAGGTCTGTGATTTTTGCACAGTAATCAAACCAATTCTCTATATTTTCACAGAGAGATCACTTCCTTATCACAGCATGACAACATTCAAAGCACCTTCTATACTAAATAGATACAGCAGCTTTTCAACTCCCTCCCTGCAGATTCTGCAGCAAGTTCTACTGAGATATACTGAGAAAATCTTGGTATCAACAAGCAGATAAAATACTACAGCATAATCATATAACTACTGCTCAGGTCTACAATGGAAATTAACTGAGACCCAGGTAATCTAATCAATTATACTGATAGAAACAGCTGGAAGTGATTCGCCCCCAAGCAAATGAACTGTTTGACAACACTGACACCAAGCGACAGATTGAAGGAAAATAACAAACCACAGCAAGAAATGGTACAGCGTTTCTCCCTCACACTCAGAAAGAGGCAAAGCTTTATTTTATCAAGACAAAAAAAAAGAAGTGAATACCTATTATGAGAGCTGACACTTTCACATAAGCTATGAATAAGTGACAGAATATCCAATATTAAATACATGCTAATAACTCAATTTAACCTTGATCTAGCAAGCACTAGTCAAAGACTGTGTACACTTCAAAGCTTTATGCAATCTAACCTCAGAAATTCATTTCTAAAGAGGAAACAATTAGTGGTTTGAATGTACAGCCAGTATCAAATTCCATTAACTTATGGATTTAGCTCATTTTTCAAGTAACATAATGCAAACAGTACTTCTATGCACTTCAATTAAAAAAACTGTTACATGTTAATGCAAAATTTAATAGCCTGCTAAGCCTCCCTTACTTGCTTTGCCTGTCCTCTCTGCTGAGAAATCCAAACACAGGCAGTCCAACATCAATGTGCATTAAACAGCCTTGTCACCCCTCCTGCTGCCTTTCCTGACAACCCTGCACAAGGCATAGAACCCTCCTGACAGAACAGGTAACTCCATCAAAAATCAGTTTTACCACCCACCACGTTCATGCCCAGCATTCCATGTCTTCTCACCAAGCTTCCATGTTCTTACCTGCTGACGTTTGTACGCCAAATAGTCAAGATTTTCCAGATCTTTCTGAAACTTCTGGTAGGTTTTCTGCAGATCAGATTTGCTGGATACATTTCTCAAAGATTCAAACGTTCTCTGAAACTGTGATGAAAAAGAAAATAAATAAATGAATAATAGTTCACACAGTTGCTGTGTTTCACTTTGTATTAGGATTTTATTCTATTAAATCCTAATTTTATGAAGCTGTGTCACCTCCATTAGATATTTCTACAGTTTTGTTTGCATCACAGAATGCAAAGCAATATGCCCTGTTCAATTAAGTTCTCTAACTTCATAGGTCAGGCTTGCATAAGACAAAACACTGGCAATCAACACAACCTCTACAGGTGAGTTCTTTTTCTGTGCCATGTTACAAGATGCAACATATACTCATATATATTTAAATACTTTTTGTTTTCAACTAAGAAAAGCATATGAAACTTTATACAGGCCATGAACTCCTCATTATATCAAGCCTAACACTAGAACTTATATATAGAGGGTGCTTCTTATCAAGTTAATTTACTTAACAATAATTTGCAAGACCAGGCAATCGCCATGGGCAATGTGCTCACATTCTGCATGAAAGCTGTGACAACTTTAATTATACTTCATTATAGATCTTACTTTTCAAGTTAAAACTTCTTTCATATCACAGAATATGCTGAGTTGGAAGGGACTCACAAGGATCATCGAGTACATCCCTGCACAGGCCCATCCCCCAGACTCACACCCTGTGCCTGAGAGCATCATCCAAACACTTCTTGAGCTCTGTCACTTGGTGCTGTGACCACTGCCCTGGGGACCCTGTTCAGTGCCCAACCACCCGCTGGGGGAAGAGCCTCTTTGTAATATCCAACCTAAACCTGCCCTGACACAACTCCAGGCCATTCCCTGAGGTCCTGTCGCTGGTCTCCATAGAGCAGAGATCAGTGCCTGCCCCTCCTCTTCCCCTCACAAGGAAGTTGTAACTGCAATGAGGTCTCCCCTCAGCCTCATCTTCTCCAGCTGAACACACCAAGTGCCCTCAGCCACCCCTCACACGGTTTCATTTCCCACCAAGGCCCTTCACCATCTTTGTTTCCCTCCTTTGTACGCTCTTTAACGACTTAATATCTTTCTTATATATTACCTGTGCCCCAAACTGCGCCAGTGTTGCAGGTGAGGCCTCCCCAGATCGGAGCAGAGTGGGACAATCTGGCCCGGCTGGCAATGCTTTGCCTGATGCCCCCCAGGACAGGGTTGGCTCTCCTGGCTGCCAGGGCACTGCTGACTCATGGCCAACTTGCTGTCAACCAGGACCCCCAGGTCCCTTTCCTGGCACTGCTTTCCAGCCTCTCATTCCCAACCTGTCCATACACCCGGGCTTGCCCCATCCCAGGTGCAGGATCCAGCACTTCCCCTTGTTGAGCTTCCTATGGTTGGTGATTGCACAGCTCTCCAATTAGTCGAGGTCTCTCTGCAGGGCCTCCCTGCCATCGAGGGAGTCAACAGCTCCTCCCAGTTTTGTGTCACCTGCAGACTTGCTTACCCCACTAGTGACAGGTCACCAGTCTGATGTCACCCCGGTCACTGTCACCCTCTGTGCTCAACCCATGAGCCAATTGCTCACCCATCACATGATGTGTTTATCCAGCTGTGGGCTGGACAGTTTGTCCAGAAGGATCCTGGGAGAGACAGTATCAAAAGCTTTACTGAAATCCAGCTGGCTTCCCTGGATCAGCTAGGTGGGTTACCTTGTCATAAAAGGAAATCAGGTTGGATAAGCAGGACTTTCCCCTCAGGAAGCCGTGCTGGCTGTGACCAATGACTGTCTTTCAGGTGTTTTTCAACACTTCCCAGAATAACCTCCATAACTTTTCCAGGCACTGAAGTGAGACTGACAGGCCTCAATCACAGCAGTAGTAGTTTTCAGGGTCCTGCTTCTTGCCCTTCTTGAAAATCAGGACAACGTTCACCAGCTTCCAGGCAGCTGAGACCTCTCAGGATTCCCAAGACCACTCAAAAATCATCCAGAGAGGTTTTGCAACAACATCAGCAGCTATTTGAGGATTCTAGGACAAATCCCAGCAGGCCCCAGAGATTTGCAAGGATCCAGCTGGAGCAGCAGATCCCACACCATTCCAGGGTCGACTGGAAGTTGATCATTCTCGCACTCATGGTCCTCCAGCTCAGGGCACTGAGACCCCCTTGGTCCATCACCCATGTTGAAGACAGAGGCAAAGAAAACATTAAACTCCTCTGCTGTCTGGGAGATGACCATCCTGACCCTGGAATGGGCCAGTGATATTTCTAAACTGCCTATTCCCATTCATATATTTGAAAAAACTCTTTTCATTGTCTCCCACACTTCTGCCTGCGTACACTATCATTAAAAATGGGACTGGTATTTTTCCAAGAGATGCACAATACCAGCCCAGCTGTAGGATCTGTAACAGAGAGGCAAAGATTTATGTGAGAGGACAACTGGAGGTCCAGCTTCCTTGCTACTTTCAGGGAAATCATGAACCTTCTGCTCTGACTTTCTCTGTTTCCCTGTCTGTAAATAGTCTTTTTCACCTCCCAAGCATGTGACAGCTGCAAAGCTCTAAGCACTTTAGAAATATTTTGTTATCACAGTGATTACCGTCAGAAGCAACTCTATAAACATTTACTTAATTACATTTATATAATCAAGAAGAACTACATATCTTGTAAATCCTCCAAAACAGTGACCTAGCTCACTAGTTACAGGCCCTGTAGATGAATTATCTACTGTAAGCTCACACATGGTACTGATGGGCAGGGAATGAGGCAAAAGACCAAAAGCAAAGGACTGCTTTCCAGTCAGTTCTGGAAAACCAAGCACTTCAGAAGTAACTACAGCAACCATTCCTCTATACCTTTGCCAGAACTCCAGTCACTGAACTGGAAAAATGAACCTCAGGAGTAGAAGGAAAAGAAAAAAAAAAAAAAGCTAAACCTCCACTCATCTTCAGTCCCTCTTTAATCAGCTGATAGCAGAACTGACAGCTAGTGCTGATGGTGGATGAAGAGTGCTCCAGTGTGGCCCATTCCGTGGGCATTTGACTGAGCTCAAGTCCAAGCTGTGTATGCTGTTGAACAGCTACTGGTGTTTATAGCTATTTGTAATTTATTTTACTCTACTTCATTCAACACTAGAGGTTAACTGGAGACTTTCTACTTGATTTGAAGTGTTTGCTACCAAACAAATAAAAGAAAGCTTTCTCATCCTAAGTGTACATTCCTGAATTCTGTAACAGTATGGGTGACAGAACATAAACACAAAGACAAAACTGCAAGACTCTCTATTCTTTTCCATTTGGTTTCATTATCTTCCACTTTTTGTATGATTTGTTGGTTTTAGATTTTATCTCTGCCCCAGAGTTGATTTCAAAGCATTGCATTTGCAATGCTTGCTTTCAGCAATTCCCACTCCTGACTATCCCCTTAGGTCGAAGTAAATTTAATTACAACATGTGCAAACAAGAGCTGAGTACAGTTTAAGGTGACCAAAAGCTATTCAGAGTGCTCCACAGTGCTCCCACTTTATAAGTGTGTAAGAAATTATTCATAACATATCTGAAAAGTTTATCATACACCCTCTGCTTCAAACTATGACATGTTTCTCCAGAACTTAGCCCAAAGCTGCTGCACCCTCTTGTGGGCTTGAATAATATAGGGATAAGGTGTCTAATGATTCCCAAACTCACTAAACTGACATAAGGTCCAGTCTTTTTTGGAGGTTTCCTCCTTTTTTTTATATATAATCATCAACATGATTCTACAACACAATTGTAGAATCATCATTATCATCCTTTTAAGAATGTACTTGATCCCATAGCTTCAATTCTTCATTTGGCAGGAGTTCTACTAGCAAGCTCACTCACTTTCTTATGTCCTGAAGCAACCTCAACATTAATAATGCATTTGACTCTCTGGAAAGAGACATAAGAACCAGCATGAGCAAACACAAACCAAATGTGTAACTATCAGGGCAACATTCTTCAATAAAATAGAAGGGTAACTGCCAGGACATCCTGGCAGAAGTCTGTCAGATGCAAGGGAAAAAATGCTTTTTTAAACATTTAATTCAAAAGGAAGTAAGAAAATAAACAAGCCATCTTAAGAAAACACACATATGTTCTTTTCACTGCCACCAACAAGAAACCAAAAAAGAGCCTTGGGCATACAAAGGTCATTAGCACATGTTAAACTTAAAACCACATCTGGATCTTTCTGCATCAGTCTTCCATCAGTGTGAACCACCACTGGTGGGATGAATGGCAAGAAAACCACTCTTATCTCTACTACCTAGAGGGGAAAAGAAATAACCAAATGTAAATAACCATAGAAGATTCAGACACACCCTTTTTTGCCTGTCACTTTTTCGAAGTGCTTTAAACAGTTTCTGAAAGCTGAGAAGTAGCAGTTCTTTACTACTTTTTCTCTCTGTGGTACTACTGGGTACCTTACCTTACCTTTACCTTACCTGATTTGTAAGGTAAAGTCCTGCAGCCTCCTGTCAGGTAATGACCATGGTTTGGTCTAATTAGTAACAATGACTGTAAGCATCAGGACTAAACTTCCTATAGTCTCACAACTTACTCACTGTGAGGTCAAAAACAGATATGAGTTCTGACTGCAGTTTCTCCTGCCAACTAAGAGCTGAGAATCCTCTGTTGTCTTCACGAGCTCCTGATGTAGCCATTTTGGGTTTTTTTCTCCACTATCCATCTACACACTTCCAGGAACCCTGGAACTTCTTCTCTTCTGTCATATGTAACGAAAATGAGGCAATGAGTTCAAAGAAAAGAGGCTGAGACAGTGTGGTTGCACAATGTTTCAACAGGAAATTGTATTAAACTAACTAATCATTCTAAAATTTTGATACAACTTAAGGAAAAATTTATTACATTTGATCTTATTCAAAGTAATTTATTCAATTTAATAAAGTCTCTTCGTGTTGTCACTTGTCTCTGCATCTTTATGTAAAAGGTCACTGTTTCTACCACATTCAGCTATTGCAAGCAAACTGATTCATTACACAGTGTTTGTGGAATAAGTGATATTAAATGATATTAAAGAGAGTTGCTGTCTGA